ACGTTGACTTGTGTTATTGGTGTCCATACTTTACCCCACTCTGATTATGCAACGTCACTACCCACCGTGTCCATAACTTTACAGCCAGTCTTAAGTTGCCGAGTGTACTAATGCTATGCGGTGCTCTTCACTTAGTGACATCTAGCTGCTTGACTTGTGCCTTGACTAATTTAATTGTTGCCAGTTGTGGATATGTGTATAGATAATGTTGTATATAAAGCGGTGTCATGTACGTAAGTTCACCCCAGTAAACTGGTGGATTTTACAGACTTTCATTTTACTCTAGACCCATTTACACTGCCATGGTTGAGGCCAAGTGACTCATTGATTATTGAAGGAAGTTCCAGTCCACGAGCCTTACTGTGGTTAGTGATGCGACAGTGAATGTTTATCCCGGACAGGGGCCCCCAATCCACTGTCGTGTCAGTCAGTCAAGTATGTCAGGAATGACACAAGTATCTAGGCTCTGTCTCCAAAGAGACGTTTAGGGCCTGTGATAGTTGTGTTTTGCCCTTTTTGATGAATATAAAATTCCATGAGTCTGGGCCAGGTACAGGACAGCATGGGTATGCTGTCTATGGCTACTGCCAAGTCCAGTGGGGTTTGATCCCCCCCCCTAGTATGTATGGGTGTTGCCGTATTTATAATGGTGCTCTTCTGATTTTATTCACTTTGTTCCTTTAATATGAAAATTTGGGCATTGTTGGTTAAAACACCCCTTGTTTAGCAAATGTTTACAGTTTTAGGTGGAAGTATTTGCAGTTATCAGAGTGACACGTTCCTGTATATAGGGTATTTCTGCAGTTTCTTGGGTGGTTATATCTGCATTTTTTTTTATTTATTTACATATACAAGAGTTGTTACATTCTTGTAAAGCCACTAGCATGCATACCATTTCGGGCAGGTCCTTAATCCAAATTTTCCCCAGAATATGACCCGCCAAATCGTTTAATAACCAGGTACCCATTCACTGCTTGGTGAACAGAGGCTACAGTTAAGGATTGGCGCCCCAGTCAATCCTCCCCGGCCAGGATACAAACCCAGGCCAAATCACTCGCGATGCGCCGGGCGAGTGTTTTTGTTCAATTTGTTCTTTTTCACAGCCCATATTTATACACACACCCCATGCATAGTATCGGCAGGTTCCATGTTCGTGCTTCGTTTGTATAGCATGGTTTATCTCCACTACACTCTGTGGTGGCTCTTAATAGATTTAGGAGGGGATCCTGCAGATTTCTGTTGTTATTCACTAACTTCCTTTTGTGTTGGGTGTTAGTCTGTGTGGGTCTGTGCTCGCACTGTGCTCATTAGTGCTCTCTAGCACTGTGCTGTGTAGTCCATCCGTGTAACCACATACCTCGACTGTCTTTACTTTACATTTGCATTCCACAATTTATGAGCATGCAGTACCGAAGTACTTTTTATCCTCTTCAGAGGGAATATTTTTAAACAAATTTGTTATTTTTAGAAAGAAGCAGTTATCCTCTTCGCAAATCCAGTATAACGAGTTATTAGTCACTTCTTTTTTCCTTAAAGTATCTGCTAGTTTAGCACAATTACTGTGTTTGACTGCATTACACAATTGACAATTTATATAGTTTGGATACACTACATTTTTTGTTGTATTTCGTACAAGACACGACTGTGGCCATTGTTGTTTATTTCAACACATCTGTATAGATATTATTTTTGGTATGAGTGTTGTGATGGCCTATGTGAGGAGCCTGATGTTGTAGTCTTAAACTTTAAGGGTGATGTCCCTTGGCGGCAGAGCTGGTAGCACCTCACTATACTTGCTCACCGCACCTTAAACTAGCAACATCGCCGTGAAAAAGTGCATAATAGTGAATTAATGTCTGGCAATCACACTGAAAGCAAAAGAAGCTAAAGAAACAAATCATTAATAGTAGTTTGTGAAAGTAATAGTGGAGCAGCACATGGTGAGAGTGAGGAGGGTAGAAGCAGGTAGTCAGTCACCTCAGTTAACTCTCCCAAGTGGCAAGAAAACACTGGAGCACGCGGTCCTATGGGGCCACGCGGCTCAGTGGACAGTACTCTGGGGTTGTAGTCCTAAGCGCCAGGGTTCGATCCCCGGCAGAGGCAGAAACAAATGGGGCAGAGTTTCTTTAACTCTGGAGCCCCTGTTCACCTAGCAGTAAATACCTGGGAGTTAAACAGCTGCTACGGGCTGCTTCCTAGGATGTGTGTGTGCACGTGAAAAATATGTAGTAGACAAAATAGAGGAAAATAATATTGGCTAAAAGGGTAGGGTCCAAGAGCTGATAGCTTGATTCTGCAAATACAAATAGTAAATACAAGACAACCCAAGAATATTATGAATTATATATTTTATAGTTTCTAATTTTCTAGGCTTCTTACCTAACCAATGACCATGCTGTTGGATCAACCTTTTTATTACCGTTGCAAAGAAATTGGTTAATAATTAAACATGGGATATATTTATTTAGTCTTTCCCTCTCTTGCATATTAAAACCTCTAAATAATGTTTATTACATCACCTATACTTCCATCTCGATTTGTTTAGGATTAAGCTTAAGGTGTATTATCTGCATGATGGTCAAGGTCGTCAGTGGGCGACGCCTCTCGGTGAACATGTGAACTTATTTTGTTGACATACATCAGCTGATGTACAACACACGTACTTGGTCAGTTGTCCAGCTGATTGGCTAAATGTTAAGATGTTAAGATGAATGAATTTATTTTCACTCTGGGCAAGTGACCTCTCGAGAAGCAGGTGAACCAGAACCAAACCCCAAATAACTCTGCAGGAACATCTTGGTGAATTTTGACTCACTGAGCTTCATGTATTTTTTCTAAGTGGCGGATAGCCGATAGCACCAACATCACATCATAAAAATCTTTGAAAGGGTACTAAGAAGTAAGATCACAAAATCCATGGAATCCCAGCATCTCCATAACCCTGGACAACATGGTTTCAGAACAGGGCGCTCTTGCCTGTCGCAGTTGCTGGACCACTATGACATGGCATTAGATGCTATGGAAGACAAAGAAAACGCTGATGTAATTTACACAGATTTCGCAAAAGCCTTTGACAAATGTGACCATAGCATCACATGAGACCAGAAGACATGGCAGGATGTGCAGAATACCCCCGTTGAAAAGCAGAGGTGCAACAGGTACTCTGAGAGAGAACTCTATCAACATCAGAGGCCCCAGACTGTTCAACACGCTTCCACTACTCATAAGGGGCATAACTGGCAGACCCTTCACAGTGTTCAAGAGAGAACTGGATAAGCACCTCCAAAGGATACCTGATCAGCCAGGCTGTGACTCATACGTCAGGCTGCGAGCAGCCGCGTCCAACAGCCTGGTTGATCAGTCCAGCAACCAGGAGGCCTGGTCGACAACCGGGCCGCGGGGACGCTAAGCCCCGGAAGCACCTCAAGGTAACCAAGGTATAGTGTTATTATTGCACACAAAATGCGTTCAAACGGAATTACTAGAAAAATCGGCAGACGGATTTACAATTTCCTGACTAATAGAACCCAATGTGTAATAGTCAACAAAATAAAATCCGGACCATCAACCGTGAAGAGCTCAGTCCCCCAGGGTACTGTGCTTGCTCCAGTACAGTCCCCCAGGGTACTGTGCTTGCTCCAGTACAGTCCCCCAGGGACAGGTGCTTGCTCCAGTACCTTTTCTACTCCTCATATCGGACACAGACAAGGACACAACCTATAGTAAAGTATTATCCTTTGCAGATGAGACTAAGATTTTTATGAGAATAAACAACATAGAAAACACAGCAAACCTGCAATCAAATGTAAATCAGGCCTTTCAATGGGTTACTGAAAATAATATGGTATTTATTAATAAAGATAAGTTCCAGCTCCTGCGTTACGGAAAAAAAGAAAATATAAAAACGGAAATTACGTACAAAACTCAGTCAAATCATATCATAGAACATAAAAGCAACGTAAAGGATCTGGGTGTACTGATGTCGGAAGACCTTACCTTTAAAGAACACAATAAAGTAGCCGTCACAACTGCAAGAAAAATGACAGGTTGGATAATAAGAACTTTTCTCACTAGAGATGCTATACCGATGATGATACTTTTCAAAACGCTTGTGCTCTCTAGAGTGGAGTACTGCTGCACACTGTAAGCCGGTCCAGGACGGACCGAAACGTCGTCGTCCCTTCAACTTCTAGTGTGTGGTCTGGTCAACAATGTAAGCCCCTTTTAATGCTGGAGAAATTGCTGACCTGGAGAGCGTGCAGAGATCCTTTACTGCTAAAATCCACCCAGTAAAACATCTATTGAGACCGACTAAAATGCCTAAATCTGTATTCTCTTGAGCGCAGGCGGGAGAGATACATAATAATTTATACGTGGAAAATATTAGATAGGACAGCTTTGAGGCGCACTCAATAATTTAGGTGCTTTACCATGTCTACGTGTGTTGTATATATGTTCTCTGTATACCCTCTAATTTCAGCAGTCTCTTGCGCTCTGAGGAGGGTGAGTATTGAGCAGAATTCAAGGCAGGACAGCACAAGTCATTTAAATAGCATGAGTAGTGTGATGGGATCCATGGATTTGAAGGCTCGTGTGATCCATCCTATCATTCTTTGAAGGCGCCTGAATCCATCCTATCATTCTTTGAAGGCTCGTGTAATCCATCCTATCATTCTTTGAAGGCTCCTGTGATCCATCCTATCATTCTTTGAAGGCTCGTGTAATCCATCCTATCATTCTTTGAAGGCTCGTGTAATCCATCCTATCATTCTTTGAAGGCTCGTGTAATCCATCCTATCATTTTACTAGTTGACGCAATATTTGCTTGGTTATGCTCCCTAAAGGTTAGGTCAGAAGATATAATTATTCTCAGATCCTTTACATCTTCATGTTTACCCTACTTCAGTACCTGGAACTGATGACCGTAGAACATGTTATATGAGGACACAGAGTCACATGGCTGCTGAGGTTCACTCTTAAGGTAAGTCAAAATCTCCTGCTTTTATAACAGTACTGTATTATCTTTATTGGTCTTTATACACGAAGTATTCCAACATGTTGTTGATGTTCTTTTACAGGAAAAGTGTTGTTTATGGGGATATATAAAATAAAAAACAGGTACTGTAAAAATTATAGAGCTTGTGTCAACACAGGATGGGACGCTGGTAGTGCTTGTGTCAACACAGGATGGGACGCTGGTAGTGCTTGTGTCAACACAGGATGGGACGCTGGTAGTGCTTGTGTCAACACAGGATGGGACGCTGGTAGTGCTTGTGTCAACACAGGATGGGACGCTGGTAGTGCTTGTGTCAACACAGGATGGGACGCTGGTAGTGCTTGTGTCAACACAGGATGGGACGCTGGTAGTGCGTGTGTCAACACAGGATGGGACGCGGGGAGTGCTTGTGTCAACACAGGATGGAACGCTGGTAGTGCTTGTGTCAACACAGGATGGGACGCTGGTAGTGCTTGTGTCAACACAGGATGGGACGCTGGTAGTGCTTGTGTCAACACAGGATGGGACGCTGTATAGTGCTTGTGTCAACACAGGATGGGACGCTGGTAGTGCTTGTGTCAACACAGGATGGGACGCTGGTATAGTGCTTGTGTCAACACAGGATGGGACGCTGGTAGTGCTTGTGTCAACACAGGATGGGACGCTGGTATAGTGCTTGTGTCAACATAGGATGGGACGCTGGAAGTGCTTGTGTCAACACAGGATGGGACTCTGGTATAGTGCTACACAGGATGGGACGCAGGTAGTGCTTGTGTCAACACAGGATGGGACTCTGGTAGTGCTTGTGTCAACACAGGATGGGACGCTGGTAGTGCTTGTGTCAACACAGGATGGGACGCTGGGAGTGCTTGTGTCAACACAGGATGGGACTCTGGTATAGTGCTTGTGTCGACACAGGATGGGACGCTGGTAGTGCTTGTGTCAACACAGGATGGGACGCTGGGAGTGCTTGTGTCAACACAGGATGGGACTCTGGTATAGTGCTTGTGTCGACACAGGATGGGACGCAGGTAGTGCTTGTGTCAACACAGGATGGGACGCAGGTAGTGCTTGTGTCAACACAGGATGTGACGCTGGTATAGTGCTTGTGTCAACACAGGATGGGACTCTGGTATAGTGCTTGTGTCAACACAGGATGGGACGCTGGTATAGTGCTTGTGTCAACACAGGATGGGACGCTGGTAGTGCTTGTGTCAACACAGGATGGGACGCTGGTAGTGCGTTGTCAACACAGGATGGGACGCTGGTAGTGCTTGTGTCAACACAGGATGGGACGCTGGTAGTGCTTGTGTCAACACAGGATGGGACGCTGGTATAGTGCTTGTGTCAACACAGGATGGGACGCTGGTAGTGCGTGTGTCAACACAGGATGGGACGCTGGTAGTGCGTGTGTCAACACAGGATGGGACGCTGGTAGTGCGGGTGTCAACACAGGATGGGACGCTGGTAGTGCTTGTGTCAACACAGGATGGGACGCTGGTAGTGCGGGTGTCAACACAGGATGGGACGCTGGTAGTGCTTGTGTCAACACAGGATGGGACGCTGGTAGTGCGGGTGTCAACACAGGATGGGACGCTGGTAGTGCTTGTGTCAACACAGGATGGGACGCTGGGAGTGCTTGTGTCAACACAGGATGGGACGCTGGTAGTGCTTGTGTCAACACAGGATGGGACGCTGGTAGTGCTTGTGTCAACACAGGATGGGACGCTGGGAGAGCTTGTGTCAACACAGGATGGGACGCTGGTAGTGCTTGTGTCAACACAGGATGGGACGCTGGTAGTGCGTGTGTCAACACAGGATGGGACGCTGGTAGTGCGTGTGTCAACACAGGATGGGACGCTGGTAGTGCGTGTGTCAACACAGGATGGGACGCTGGTAGTGCGTGTGTCAACACAGGATGGGACGCTGGGAGTGCTTGTGTCAACACAGGATGGGACGCTGGGAGTGCTTGTGTCAACACAGGATGGGACGCTGGGAGTGCTTGTGTCAACACAGGATGGGACGCTGGGAGTGCTTGTGTCAACACAGGATGGGACGCGGGGACAGCTAGCTAAAGGTGGGTTGCCAAAAGTGGGCGCTCACCTTATGAAGCATGTTAGCCTGGGCAAGGTGAGGCGAAAATTCGGAATGTCTTCATTTCGTATGTTCCTCCGTGGTTACTGAGGCACTCCAACACCTCCAACCCTCACCCTCTTCCTCCATGGCGGTATGAGGCAGTTTACCTGCACCAGGATCGTGAGGCAGTTTACCTGCACCAAGAGAGTGAGGCAGTTTACCTGCACCAGGATCATGAGACAGTTTACCTGCACCAGGATCATGAGACAGTTTACCTGCACCAAGATAGTGAGGCAGTTTACCTGCACCAATATCGTGAGGCAGTTTACCTACACCAAGATAGTGAGGCAGTTTACCTGCACCAAGATAGTGAGGCAGTTTACCTGCACCAAGATCGTGAGGCAGTTTACCTGCACCAAGATCGTGAGGCAGTTTACCTGCACCAAGATAGTGAGGCAGTTTACCTGCACCAAGATAGTGAGACAGTTTACCTGCACCAAGATAGTGAGGCAGTTTACCTGCACCAAGATCGTGAGGCAGTTTACCTGCACCAAGATCGTGAGGCAGTTTACCTGCACCAAGATAGTGAGGCAGTTTACCTGCACCAAGATAGTGAGGCAGTTTACCTGCACCAAGATAGTGAGGCAGTTTACCTGCACCAAGATCGTGAGGCAGTTTACCTGCACCAAGATCGTGAGGCAGTTTACCTGCACCAAGATAGTGAGGCAGTTTACCTGCACCAAGATAGTGAGGCAGTTTACCTGCACCAAGATCGTGAGGCAGTTTACCTGCACCAAGATAGTGAGGCAGTTTACCTGCACCAAGATAGTGAGGCAGTTTACCTGCACCAAGATAGTGAGACAGTTTACCTGCACCAAGATAGTAAGGCAGTTTACCTGCACCAAGATAGTGAGGCAGTTTACCTGCACCAAGATCGTGAGGAGGTTTACCTGCACTAAGATCGTGAGGCAGTTTACCTGCGCCAAGATAGTGATGCAGTTTACCTGCACCAAGATAGTGAGGCAGTTTACCTGCACCAAGATAGTGAGACAGTTTACCTGCACCAAGATAGTGAGGCAGTTTACCTGCACCAAGATCGTGAGGCAGTTTACCTGCACCAAGATAGTGAGGCAGTTTACCTGCACCAAGATCGTGAGGCAGTTTACCTGCACCAAGATAGTGAGGCAGTTTACCTGCACCAAGATAGTGAGGCAGTTTACCTGCACCAAGATAGTGAGACAGTTTACCTGCACCAAGATAGTGAGGCAGTTTACCTGCACCAAGATCGTGAGGCAGTTTACCTGCACCAAGATAGTGAGGCAGTTTACCTGCACCAAGATAGTGAGACAGTTTACCTGCACCAAGATAGTGAGGCAGTTTACCTGCACCAAGATAGTGAGGCAGTTTACCTGCACCAAGATAGTGAGGCAGTTTACCTGCACCAAGATAGTGAGGCAGTTTACCTGCACCAAGATAGTGAGGCAGTTTACCTGCACCAAGATAGTGAGGCAGTTTACCTGCACCAAGATAGTGAGGCAGTTTACCTGCACCAAGATAGTGAGGCAGTTTACCTGCACAATGTACTGAGGATACCTCTCATAAATCTCATATATATATTATGGAAATATTATACGAATCTCAGTTAAACAAGTCCTTTAATGAGTAAGAAAATTAATAACGTCCAGAGAGAATACAATGAGGCTCCTTGCCATAACAGGTCATCAATGGTGGCCACAGTCACCTTGCCATAACAGGTCATCAATGGAGGCCACAGTCACCTTGCCATAACAGGTCATCAATGGTGGCCACAGTCACCTTGCCATAACAGGTCATCAATGGTGGCCACAGTCACCTTGCCATAACAGGTCATCAATGGTGGCCACAGTCACCTTGCCATAACAGGTCATCAATGGTGGCCACAGTCACCTTGCCATAACAGGTCATCAATGGTGGCCACAGTCACCTTGCCATAACAGGTCATCAATGGTGGCCACAGTCACCTTGCCATAACAGGTCATCAATGGTGGCCACAGTCACCTTGCCATAACAGGTCATCAATGGTGGCCACAGTCACCTTGCCATAACAGGTCATCAATGGTGGCCACAGTCACCTTGCCATAACAGGTCATCAATGGTGGCCACAGTCACCTTGCCATAACAGGTCATCAATGGTGGCCACAGTCACCTTGCCATAACAGGTCATCAATGGTGGCCACAGTCACCTTGCCATAACAGGTCATCAATGGTGGCCACAGTCACCTTGCCATAACAGGTCATCAATGGTGGCCACAGTCACCTTGCCATAACAGGTCATCAATGGTGGCCACAGTCACCTTGCCATAACAGGTCATCAATGGTGGCCACAGTCAGCCACAACAGCTCATGGGTGGCCACAGTCACCTTGCCATGAGGTCATCAATGGTGTCCACAGTGTGGGCCATAACAGGTCATCAATGGTGGCCACAGTCACCTTGCCATAACAGGTCATCAATGGTGGCCACAGTCACCTTGCCATAACAGGTCATCAATGGTGGCCACAGTCACCTTGCCATAACAGGTCATCAATGGTGGCCACAGTCACCTTGCCATAACAGGTCATCAATGGTGGCCACAGAGGTACCTTGCCATAAGAAAACTAAACTATATACACGTTCAGCACAAGCTGTGGGTGCCCACAGTGTCATTAGTGAGGGTGCCCACAGTGTCATTAGTGAGGGTGTCCACAGTGTCACTAGTGAGGGTGCCCACAGTGTCACTAGTGAGGGTGCCCACAGTGTCATTAGTGAGGGTGCCCACAGTGTCATTAGTGAGGGTGTCCACAGTGTCACTACTGAGGGTGCCCACAGTGTCACTAGTGAGGGTGCCCACAGTGTCATTAGTGAGGGTGCCCACAGTGTCACTAGTGAGGGTGCCCACAGTGTCACTAGTGAGGGTGCCCACAGTGTCAGTGATGGTGCCCACAGTGTCAGTGAGGGTGCCCACAGTGTCACTAGTGAGGGTGCCCACAGTGTCACTAGTGAGGGTGCCCACAGTGTCACTAGTGAGGGTGGTGCCCACAGTGTCACTAGTGAGGGTGCCCACAGTGTCACTAGTGAGGGTGCCCACAGTGTCACTAGTGAGGGTGCCCACAGTGTCACTAGTGAGGGTGCCCACAGTGTCAGTGAGGGTGCCCACAGTGTCACTAGTGAGGGTGCCCACAGTGTCACTAGTGAGGGTGCTAGTGAGGGTGCCCACAGTGTCACTAGTGAGGGTGCCCACAGTGTCACTAGTGAGGGTGCCCACAGTGTCACTAGTGAGGGTGCCCACAGTGTCACTAGTGAGGGTGCCCACAGTGTCACTAGTGAGGGTGCCCACAGTGTGTCAGGGTGCCCACAGTGTCAGTGAGGGTGCCCACAGTGTCACTAGTGAGGGTGCCCACAGTGTCACTAGTGAGGGTGCCCACAGTGTCACTAGTGAGGGTGCCCACAGTGTCACTAGTGAGGGTGCCCACAGTGTCACTAGTGAGGGTGCCCACAGTGTCACTAGTGAGGGTGCCCACAGTGTCACTAGTGAGGGTGCCCACAGTGTCACCCACAGTAGTGAGGGTGCCCACAGTGTCACTAGTGAGGGTGCCCACAGTGTCACTAGTGACAGGTCACTAGTGTCACTAGTGAGGGTGCCCACAGTGTCACTAGTGAGGGTGCCCACAGTGTCACTAGTGAGGGTGCCCACAGTGTCACTAGTGAGGGTGCCCACAGTGTCACTAGTGAGGGTGCCCACAGTGTCACTAGTGAGGGTGCCCACAGTGTCACTAGTGAGGGTGCCCACAGTGTCACTAGTGAGGGTGCCCACAGTGTCACTAGTGAGGGTGCCCACAGTGTCACTAGTGAGGGTGCCCACAGTGTCACTAGTGAGGGTGCCCACAGTGTCACTAGTGAGGGTGCCCACTAGTGAGGGTGCCCACAGTGTCACTAGTGAGGGTGCCCACAGTGTCACTAGTGAGGGTGCCCACAGTGTCACTAGTGAGGGTGCCCACAGTGTCACTAGTGAGGGTGCCCACAGTGTCACTAGTGAGGGTGCCCACAGTGTGCACTAGTGAGGGTGCCCACAGTGTCACTAGTGAGGGTGCCCACTAGTGAGGGTGCCCACAGTGTCACTAGTGAGGGTGCCCACAGTGTCACTAGTGAGGGTGCCCACAGTGTCACTAGTGAGGGTGCCCACTAGTTAGGGTGCCCACAGTGTCACTAGTGAGGGTGCCCACAGTGTCACTAGTGAGGGTGCCCACAGTGTCACTAGTGAGGGTGCCCACAGTGTCACTAGTGAGGGTGCCCACAGTGTCACTAGTGAGGGTGCCCACAGTGTCACTAGTGAGGGTGCCCACAGTAGTGAGGGTGCCCACAGTGTCACTAGTGAGGGTGCCCACAGTGTCACTAGTGAGGGTGCCCACACTAGTGTGCACTAGTGAGGGTGCCCACAGTGTCACTAGGGTGCCCACAGTGTCACTAGTGAGGGTGCCCACAGTGTCACTAGTGAGGGTGCCCACAGTGTCACTAGTGAGGGTGCCCACAGTGTCACTAGTGAGGGTGCCCACAGTGTCACTAGTGAGGGTGCCCACAGTGTCACTAGTGAGGGTGCCCACAGTGCCCACAGTGTCACTAGTGAGGGTGCCCACAGTGTCACTAGTGAGGGTGCCCACAGTGTCACTAGTGAGGGTGCCCACAGTGTCACTAGTGAGGGTGCCCACAGTGTCACTAGTGAGGGTGCCCACAGTGTCACTAGTGAGGGTGCCCACAGTGTCACTAGTGAGGGTGCCCACAGTGTCACTAGTGAGGGTGCCCACAGTGTCACTAGTGAGGGTGCCCACAGTGTCAGTGTCACTAGTGAGGGTGCCCACAGTGTCACTAGTGAGGGTGCCCACAGTGAGGGTGCACTAGTGAGGGTGCCCACAGTGTCACTAGTGAGGGTGCCCACAGTGTCACTAGTGAGTGCCCACAGGTCACTAGTGGGTGCCCACAGTGTCACTAGTGGGTGCCCACAGTGTCACTAGTGCCCACAGTGTCACTAGTGAGGGTGCCCACAGTGTCACTAGTGAGGGTGCCCACAGTGTCACTAGTGAGGGTGCCCACAGTGTCACTGAGGGTGCCCACAGTGTCACTAGTGAGGGTGCCCACAGTGTCACTAGTGAGGGTGCCCACAGTGTCACTAGTGAGGGTGCCCACAGTGTCACTAGTGAGGGTGCCCACAGTGTCACTAGTGAGGGTGCCCACAGTGTCACTAGTGAGGGTGCCCACAGTGTCACTAGTGAGGGTGCCCACAGTGTCAGTGAGGGTGCCCACAGTGTCACTAGTGAGGGTGCCCACAGTGTCACTAGTGAGGGTGCCCACAGTGTCACTAGTGAGGGTGCCCACTAGTGAGGGTGCCCACAGTGTCACTAGTGAGGGTGCCCACAGTGTCACTAGTGAGGGTGCCCACAGTGTCACTAGTGAGGGTGCCCACAGTGTCACTAGTGAGGGTGCCCACAGTGTCACTAGTGAGGGTGCCCACAGTGTCACTAGTGAGGGTGCCCACAGTGTCACTAGTGAGGGTGCCCACAGTGTCACTAGTGAGGGTGCCCACAGTGTCACTAGTGAGGGTGCCACACACTAGTGAGGGTGCCCACAGTGTGAGGGTGCCCACACACTAGTGAGGGTGCCCACTAGTAGTGAGGGTGCCCACAGTGTCACTAGTGAGGGTGCCCACAGTGTCACTAGTGAGGGTGCCCACAGTAGTGAGGGTGCCCACAGTGTCACTAGTGAGGGTGCCCACAGTGTCACTAGTGAGGGTGCCCACAGTGTCACTAGTGAGGGTGCCCACAGTGTCACTAGTGAGGGTGCCCACAGTGTCACTAGTGAGGGTGCCCACAGTGTCACTAGTGAGGGTGCCCACAGTGTCACTAGTGAGGGTGCCCACAGTGTCACTAGTGAGGGTGCCCACTAGTGAGGGTGCCCACAGTGTCACTAGTGAGGGTGCCCACAGTGTCACTAGTGAGGGTGCCCACAGTGTCACTAGTGAGGGTGCCCACAGTGAGGGTGCCCACACTAGTGAGGGTGCCCACAGTGTCACTAGTGAGGGTGCCCACAGTGTCACTAGTGAGGGTGCCCACAGTGTCACTAGTGAGGGTGCCCACAGTGTCACTAGTGAGGGTGCCCACAGTGTCACTAGTGAGGGTGCCCACAGTGTCACTAGTGAGGGTGCCCACAGTGTCCCACTGAGGGTGCCCACAGTGTCACTAGTGAGGCCCACAGTGTCACTAGTGCCCACAGTGTCACTAGTGAGGGTGCCCACAGTGTCACTAGTGAGGGTGCCCACAGTGTCACTAGTGAGGGTGCCCACAGTGTCACTAGTGAGGGTGCCCACCCACAGTGTCAGTGAGGGTGCCCACTAGTAGAGGGTGCCCACAGTGTCACTAGTGAGGGTGCCCACAGTGTCACTAGTGAGGGTGCCCACAGTGTCACTAGTGAGGGTGCCCACAGTGTCACTAGTGAGGGTGCCCACAGTGTCACTAGTGAGGGTGCCCACAGTGTCACTAGTGAGGGTGCCCACAGTGAGGGTGCCCACAGTGTCACTAGTGAGGGTGCCCACTGTCAGTGAGGGTGCCCACAGTGTCACTAGTGAGGGTGCCCACAGTGTCACTAGTGAGGGTGCCCACAGTGTCACTAGTGAGGGTGCCCACAGTGTCAGTGAGGGTGCCCACAGTGTCACTAGTGAGGGTGCCCACAGTGTCCCACTAGTGAGGGTGCCCACAGTGTCACTAGTGAGGGTGCCCACAGTGTGAGGGTGCCCACTAGTGAGGTCACTAGTGCCCACAGTGTCACTAGTGAGGGTGCCCACAGTGTCACTAGTGAGGGTGCCCACAGTGTCACTAGTGAGGGTGCCCACAGTGTCACTAGTGAGGGTGCCCACAGTGTCACTAGTGAGGGTGCCCACAGTGTCACTAGTGAGGGTGCCCACAGTGTCCACTGCCCCCACAGTGTCACTAGTGAGGGTGCCCACAGTGTCACTAGTGAGGGTGCCCACAGTGTCACTAGTGAGGGTGCCCACAGTGTCACTAGTGAGGGTGCCCACTAGTGTCCACTAGTGAGGGTGCCCACAGTGTGCCCACTAGTGAGGGTGCCCACAGTGTCACTAGTGAGGGTGCCCACAGTGTCACTAGTGAGGGTGCCCACAGTGTCACTAGTGAGGGTGCCCACAGTGTCACTAGTGAGGGTGCCCACAGTGTCACTAGTGAGGGTGCCCACAGTGTCACTAGTGAGGGTGCCCACAGTGTCACTAGTGAGGGTGCCCACAGTGTCACTAGTGAGGGTGCCCACAGTGTCACTAGTGAGGGTGCCCACAGTGTCACTAG